CTCTCCAGAACTCCTCAAATGGAACAGTTTTAATTTGGTCTGGTTTAAGTTCGTAAAAAGTCATTTTAAGGAAGCTTTGGCTTAATAGTTTATCAAAATAAATATTCTACTGTATAAAATTTTCTTTATAACATTTTTTTAATCTACTTATGTCAGTGTTGTATAATTATTTATCATTTATATAATTGATATAAAGAAAATAATTTATATTGTTTTCCAATGCATTACTTGGACTACACTTGAATATGGAATAATTCATACAATAAAAATAGAAATAAAATTTTTGGGAGAATATGGATTTGTAATTAATATTTGAGCTGAAATAAAAAAAAAGATATTACATCTTTGCTTTAAAACAGTTAAAGTCGTATAATTTCCACAATTGTAGGGTCATAGGATATTCACAGCAACATGAACAGAATATGGGTCCATTTTCATAAAAAAGAAAATATTTCTGTAAAAACAACAACTGCCTGCTGGTTGGTCAAATGTTGTAGTAATTTTGAAAATCAGTCCACACAATATAAATATGCGGGTCATAAATGTTCCCTGGACCTAACTCTGGACAAGACTGATCTACCCCATCCGAACCAAGGGTAGATACACTTCAGCAATATGGAGTTATCATTGTCAAATTAAAAGGCATATACAGTATTATCAATAACATGTCCACCATTCTACTCATGACTATCTGGGCCTATTTTTAAATGTGTTAGTTTGAATTAATTTTTATTCTGATGTCAAGAAATTCTAGAGAAATGACCCTCATGCTTGTTGTACTTGTTGTACTTGTCATAATGTCAAATGTTATTTCTTTTAAATGAGGATAGAGGAAACCTTCCATGAAAGAATGAATCCAGACTAGGCAGTAAAAAAAACAATGAATGCTCTCACACATGACGGCAGAACAAACTAATGCTTCTCTTAATGCAACATCTGTTAATCATTGATTATATAAACAATCCCATAACAAGATTATCAGAAAATAAAGCAGTGGTCTGAAGGTACATTCCAGGTTTTATAAATTCAATATGTGAAACAGGAAATGCAACATGATTTGGACCTTCCAGCTGCTGGCAAGCTAGTTTCTCACTCCTCTACTGTTGATGTAAACAAAACAGAGCAAGGAATCTTGAAGAATTTGTAGCTTCTATTTATGTTATATTAACACGCGTATGGTTACCCTTACGGATCATTGAAATAGTGCATCATTTCTATTTAACTTTATGACCATAGCCAACCTCGCAGGGCAAAGAGGCAATCAGGTTGGTAGTGCCAAGAAAACCATATTTAACCAGAAGGGAAGAAAAACCCATGTGAACTCCACTGCTGACAGAGAAACACCCAATGCACAGAAGTCAGACTGCAGTTTTGAATGGATTTAACACACACAAAAAAAAAAACTCCCTGGTCATATTTAGCATTATATGTAGTACAAATTGCAGACATAACACTATAGCTGTAATGAAACATGAATAGATCCTGCCCGGTGTTGAAAGGTTAGGCTTAAATTTGTGAACATTATTCCGAAAGAGTGAGTCAAAGTTCCAGTTGGTAAAATGCTTGATATTTTGCTCCTGCCATGTTCATTTGTTTTATAACAAGAAACTCAATTATTGATCAATTTTTGGAGGTTTTAGCGATCCATCCAGCTCATGAGATGAAATGGCATATGAATGTGGCTTTGTGAGAACTTTACAGTACAAGATGGTGCAGTGACAATATTGTTGGAGAAATGGGAATTATTTTAAAGAAGATCAGTGGAGTTTGTTTCCTTATAAGTCTGGCATTGGAGACAACTGCCTTGGATAAAATATGTTACAAAACTGGACATGAAAATAGCAAAACAAGTGATATCAAAGGCGACAATAAATACATGAAGAAAAGTTCATACTAAAAGTCTAATGTGGAATTATTTGCTGTAATCTATAGTTGCTCCTCCGATCCATGCTGTATTGAGAGATTTACAATACTTTGCATTATTGAAAACCAGGTAAAAAAGCAGCCTAACAAGGAGGAAACTTTCAATAATTGAAATTAATAATTTATGACCACAGGGAAGATTTTGTGCTTAGAAGAAGCTGAATTTGGCAAACTTCAAGAATCATTTATTTGTTTAATTTGATTAAATACTTGAAAACAGGCAGGGTATCAGATCAATACTCTATCAGATCAATATGGCATTTTTCAGACTCACCAAGGCTTAGAGTAGAGGACAAGATTTTATTTCTGTGTTTTCCTACTTCATTATCTGGTTCTTGAAGTCTGACAGCATTGTGAGACTATTTTAAGAGGATGAGCTCACACCACCTTTCTAGCATGGCCACTCCAGCACACACCCTCCCAGGGGGATGTCTAGCCCACTAACGGGCTCTGATGGCCGAGCAGGAGCTGCAGAGGGGAGTGGGCCTCTCTCTCTGGGACCATGTGGGGCTCTTAGCTGCAAGAACGAGTGTTAACGGAAGAGAAGTGAATAATTTAAAAACATCATTTCTGCTGGGCGTTAAATATTTAAGCAGCCTCTGATGTAACTGGGGAACATGAATGTGAGTGCGTGTGCGCGGGCATCACCCTACGTCCGTGCACTCTGGGGTGGAAGGCGGATGCAGGGGGGTGATGTTATTTAAGGAGAGTACAAGCCGTGTTATACTGATTTAAAAAGAAGTGAAAGACAGTTAGGAGGGGGGAAAGTCAATGAGGGAAAAAATGACAGGTCTTTAAATTCTTGAATGGAGTTTGTGTTTTCATGGATGTATAATACAAGACCAACTCTGAGGGTTTTATTTGTTAACGAAATAGCCCCTTGCAAAATTAACAAACCTGCATGTATTTTTTCTAATTTGTGCAAGTCTAGAAAATGTTTCAAAGGAGTAGGAACCTTGTCAAACACCCTTTGATTGCAGTTACAGTTGTTCGGAGGTATGTCTCTACCAGCTTTGCCTGTAAAGAGACAGAATGGGTTACCAGATTCTGGAAGGCCCAATATAAATGTGCACACTTTTCATTCCACTTCAAGACTATCTGCTGCTTTTTGTTGGTCTTTCACATTAATCCCAAATCATTAACGTCTTGGGTTGTAGCATGACAATTGGTGATTGACTTCTAATTGGCCACATATATTTTTAATTAAAACTGAGCCTTTTTTTCCCACACATATTTATTTTATTTTATCCGTGTCCAGTAGCAGCTTTATCCGTGTCCAGTAGCAGCCCAGAGAGCATCCGTAGCTGACCCTGTCATGTGTGTAAGTGTGGGTGTGTGTCAGGGTTAAACTGTTTCAGCAGCCTGTTTCTCATTGTGTCACTCTGTCGCCTCACTCCTCTCTCACTCACTTTAAGACTCGGACACACACCAACATGAACTGGCACACAAACCTCTTCACTCCTCTCAACTGGGGTTAAATGATCGCACCCAGATTATTAAACTCGCCCGAATTCTCTTAGCTCTTCTGTCTCTGTGTGTGTTTGTGTGTGTGAGTGTGATGATGAGTTATTGTGGGTTCTTCCCCTGTGAGGGCCTTGTTTATTCTGTGGGGTCCTTTTCACACATTCGGTAGTCCAGCCAGACTGCCTGTTTGTTTTTCCCACATCGTCTCTTCTCCCCCGTCTTTGTGGAAATAACATTCCCCATCACCCCCTTCATCCAAACCCCTTCCCTTCACCTTCCTCCCCCCCTCTCTTCCCTTCATCTTTCACAGGTTCAGTGTTTGTTTGGTGGCTATATTCAACCGCTTAAATAACAAATAACCTTTCCATGAATGTACACAGCCATGAATATATTCGTTTTTAAAAAGTATCTATCAGTCGTGTGTTTGTTTTTGTCTGCAAAGCTTAAAATTTTTTCTCAAAAATGCATAAAAGGCCTTAATAAAAAAAAAAATGCACTGAAAAATATAAAATGTAATTATCCCTACAGGGACCATTAGGGTGCCAATCGGCATGGTATTGTTTCTTTGCATGGGAAACTGCATAAATGCACAGTTAATAAAAAAATAATTTATACTACCATCAAATTTTGGTTTGAAGTAATCTTTTAATTTTAAGACAATATTTCTTATGCAGACGTATCCAGGCGCAGTTGTTAGCACCGTTGCCTTGTTGAAAAAAGAAAATTTACGGGTTTAATTTTCAATCCAGTTTTTTTGCAAGAAGTGTTCTATCTGTGAAGTCCTGTTTCTTCCCACAGTTCAATGGATTTATTTTGTCTGAAGAGGTGTCTGCCTGTGTGCTTGTACTTGATGTGTGTGTGTGATGCCCTATAATGGCAACCTGTCAAGGGTGTACCCTGCCTCTCTTAAAATAACCACTGACCAGACTGACTACCCCTATTCCAACACCCCTTCCCTTTGGGCTGGATGTTTGTACTTACTAAAAGTAATATTATCGTTTTGGTTTGGCTAGATCACTGATATGACCTAAATCCAATACAGTGGATCTGGGAGGCAGAGGTAGCCTGTGGAAAACTGGCCAGCAGATATTACAGTTGTGTGATTTATGTGATGCTAACAGAGAACTTTTCATTCTTTTTTTAAAGAAAATATAGAATATTAAGGATTTTGTCAACTATAAATAAAAAAAATATGTATATTTGTTTCAAAATCCATTCTTCATTAGTTTAATATATTTTGAGGGACACCTACTTTATTTCTAGTCAGAACCAGTCTTCTTGTTAGAACCAGAATGATTTTACATTTAGATGTCAATGATATCAATCATTTACAGCTGTAAAGTAATCTGTCTGAAATATCTAAAAGAATTTCAGAGTATGTCAATTGTACTGTTAATAATTAATTTCTTCCCAGGCTTTCTAAAAATCTTAAATGGTTTTGCCTAAAGATCTGCCCACATGTCTGTTAAAAATCTTACCCCCAATCTTCATTAAAGCCCACAAATGTGGACACCAGGAAAAAACAGAACATTCTTTGAAATGCAGGTTGTCCCCATATATATCCACTCTTTTGTAAATGAAACAGGTTTCTAATATATGTTGTGTTCTTACAGCCGACTGAATCGGAATAATTTGGCCGTGTTTCCTGAGCTACTTTTCCTGGGAACAGCCAAGCTTCACAGACTGTAAGTCATTTTGTTTTTTTCTTCTTATATTTATTTCTCCATTAAATTTTTTTTAATTATAGAAATTAAGAAAAAGAAACCACTGTAACAAAGCTTAAATAAATGCAAATGCTTTAAAGGATTTTGTGTTTTTATAAAACCAACTTGTTTAAATGTACAGAGTCCAATTCAAAGATGCCTTAATTGATGCTTTAATTGATTTAAATGTGTAAAAAAAAAAAGGCTCTTTGTGACAAAATGTGGAGGTATCACTTGGATAAAGGTGCCAGGAGAACGAAGGACAAAATTTGCACGGCCCTGTCTCTAGCAGCCAGTTCAGTAGCTAATGGAGATTATCACCCTAACAGCTGCTGCCTCCTGGGAGAGAGGTGTGTGTTTTGGTCTGCTAGAGGAGAAAGTGAGAATGACCGACTGAAGAAGGCCTAAGCAGATATTTTGAAACTGGTTCTTCCTCTCTGGTTACTTCTTCACCACAAAATAGTTTCAGCAGCACACATGAATGCTCTGGTTTGCATTCAACCCAACAAACCACTGTTTGTTGTCATTGAGCACCTTCCCCTAGCTTCTCCCAGTGTCCTCCGTAAACTGAGCTTTGGATTCCCAGTACTGTTATGCTGGGCTTGCGACGCTGCTGAAACTGTGGGAACTGACTTCCAGTCATGGTCATTTGCGCGTCTTTGGGAGTAATTATGGTTGCATATATTTATATGTGCGGTTGAATATATTTATCTAAAGCTATGCTGAAATGCTAAGTTGATTCACACAGTGTGTGAAAGTTGTTTATGTTCTGCGGCTGCCGCAGCGGTCGCCTGCGCCTGACCTGCTATGTTTAAGGGTGTGTGTCTGCATGCATGTCTGTGATTCTGCGAGTGTGTGTGCCTCTCAAGGCCAAGAGCTGGCACTTTGCTCAGCGTGTGGGCCGAGGTAAAAATACAACGCGGATATGTTGCGCTTCTCAACATGTCACTGACAACCAGTTTTATGTTTGCTGCGTCAGCGTTGATGATATATGAATATTTAATTTCAGCAAAGATGCACTGACTCACAGATAATGAAAGCGACAGAGGAAGATTAAAAAAAAAAGTATTTGGAAAAACTCATACAATTGCTAAAGGATTACATTTGCAAGCTGTGAAAGCACGAAAGTATTTTTTTGGTCATCTCTTCAACAGAAAAATAAACTCCTGTCTTTATTTTTGTAGACTTTTCACTTTTATAGAACAAAAGAAGCTCATGAAGACCTCTGAAATACAATCGTTTGGGGTTTTGTATGGAGGGCTGTAGGTATGTGCTGCAGCAGCTTGACTGGCTTTGAGTTTTGCAACAGTGCAGCTATAAATGAGCACTTGCTGAACCTGCTATTATGAAAATGTTGTTTTCAGTTTTTGAGGCTTGGAAATGTGTGTGTATGTGAGTATTTACTGTATCGGTTAACCTTAGCACAGCTCAGTGGTTTGGCCCTAGGAGAGCTGGGTTATACCATTCAGGTATGATATCTGTAAACTGTTACTGCTTCTTTGATTAAACATATAATGTTTAATATTCCTGTTAAATAAGAGACTTTAGCTGTCATATATATGGACGTAAACCTTTTCTTCCTTTTGGCACCTTCTTCTTCTTTTTGAAAATTGAGCCAATGTAACAACTAAATTTCTCAACTACTGCTACTGTATATAAATAATATATACAGTAGCAGCCATTCAAAATGGCCCTTCCTAGTCAAACCCCAGCCAAATGGCAGACCACTTCCCTGTAGCTCCCAGTGAAATCCCATCCAACTTCCAGCCACTGGCCTTCTTCAGGGCATGCATATTTTTTTCCTGACTTCACCCTTTCACTGAATTACAGGGTCTGACCAGGAGATGGCGCTTCTTTTTAGATCTTAATGTCCACAAATCACGACAGACGGAATATTTTAGTACAAAGATTGATGTTTAAAAAGGAATTGTGGGGGACCAGCCAAGGGCCTATCAAGGAAAGTGGGGAAATTTTGAATGACTACTATTGTAAATACATTCGGAAAGTTAGATGCTTTAAAATTTGCTGCATAAAAAGAATTTTCCAACCAATCATAACCTCAAATTTCATACAAAAAGTAACCCTGGTGTTGACTTTAAACTGAAGCTGAACGAATTGGTTGGTAATAATGTGTTCTATTTTCCTCATCTAACTCTCCTGGCCGATAAGAAATAAAATAATATGATGTTCGTCCACCTTTAACAATGTTTACAGTAAAAAGAAATAGGATAAAATTCACAGCTTACCATCAGTGTTTGGGAAAAAGACTGCGCATGGAAACAACACATTCAGTCTTAACACTGCAAAGCATTATGCTTAATAAAAGAAACTTTTAGTGCATTTTGTTCATTTACAATTTAGTTTAGGGCTGAAACAATTAATGAGATTAATTGAGATTAATTGATTATTGAAATAATCGTCAACTAATTTAGCAATCAATTAATCATTAACTGGAGTATGGAGACTCTAAAACATGCCTCTGGATGATAGAGAAACCAACTTAGAGCATTAACTATACCAAACTTATACAAAAATATATCAACATTTGGCATTCAAGATTAAAAAAAAAACAGTTTTTTCGTCTTTCAATATTCTCTTTGCAGAACTCCTTAAGTGGAAAAGTTTAACCTGCTTTAATTTCATAAAAAGTCATTTTTAAGGAATGTATGGCCACCCTATTATTAATTGAGTAATCCAAATAAAGTAATCGACAGGTTAATGGATTCCCAAAATAATAATTAGTTGCAGCCCTAATTTAGTTGAACCTTTAGGAAAAATGTCATTGACAAAATATCAACAAAACATAAACTAAAACCAGGATCTAATTCTAAATGCTAGCAAACCTTTAGAATGAGATCTGGATCATTTTTAATGGACCAGTTACAAACAGCAGTGTCCAGACCTCTGCAACTCTTACATCCCTCATTAGATATCTACATTGATAACCTGAGCACTCCAGAGCCCTAACCCCTTTAAACAGACACATCTGGGAAAGACCTTGTTCTGCTTCCCACCCACCCCTAAAAAACACATTATCTGAATGTGACACAAACATAGGCATAGCCCCCTAGTTTCCCTCCCCCACTGTCTCCACATAGCAGCAATGTTGAGGACCACAGCTGGGGCTGTTTGGTCTGAGGGGAAAAAAAGGCGAGAATGAAAAGAGCAATGAGACACTTTTAGCAGGAAATTAAATTCAGCCACTTCGTTTAGAGGGACTCTGAAAATTAAGGTGGACCTTTAATAGCTTAAAGCTTTAACCATCAGCCAAGAATTATACTGCTAAAGACATCCAAAAAAAAATACAACCCCTAATAAACTTTTTAAAAAACAATCTGTAGTTGAAATAAAGGTCATTTCTATAAACGCACTTAAAATAAATAAAGACAGAAGACTACAATAAATCTTATATTTGGATCTTTGAAAATAAAAATCCATAATGTGTATGTTTACTTACTGTAGATAGATGATGTTCTGTTTGGTTCCTTTTTGCAATGAAACAGTTAAAAACAATTGAAAAAAGTAAATTGTTGCCTAATTGATTTTTAATCTTTTATCTCACTAGTTAAATCTAGATCTGTTACTGCCTCTCCTGCTTCTTCAGTTATGATAATACTTAGAGAAAAGATGAGTTAATATATTGGCTATCACATTCTTTAGAAGAGTAAACTCAAACTTTAAGCAAATTTATTTAGTCGACAAGGTTTAGTTTAGATATATTCATGGAACCTAATCCATTAAAGCATATCAAATGATTGTAGAACCCTGACGTTATGGAGTAAATGTCTTTACATTATTTTTTCTTTTCTTTGATTTATGACTAGGCTCTATCAGTCTCCCTCTGATTTACTCGTCTCTGTTTAGATATTTTAAATGGCACTATATTATAGGAATAATCATTGGTTTTATTTTAACAAATGAGTGTGACTTAAGTCGAAAGATGTTTTCAAATACTTCAAGAAAAAAACATTTCTTTATATAGTTTTTGATTTTTAATATTTGTTGCAGTATATTCATAACCTTTCATGTGTCGATTCAGGCCAGTTTTACTTTTAATATGTAAGGATTGTTTCTCATGATGATCCTTTGTTGATGACCTTCTGAATTTTCCCTGCTTTTAAATTCGGTCTCTTCTAAAATCATCATCTCCTTATCTTGAGGAAAAAAAGAGTATTCTTTGCTCTGTTTCCTGAATGGAATTAGGTCATCAGCAGACCCAGAATTTCCTTTTATCTGACCTTTGACCCTTGATTGCACTATTGCACAACAGGTATTTTGATTAAAAGAAGCCAATTTCAGGAAGACTTGTATCCATTCTAACTGTGTCATGGTACATGTTGCATTTAAATGTAATATCCAAAAGAAACCCGAGCAACTCAACTTCCTCAGGAGAAAATGTCCTATTGCACTCTTTCTGTCATCTTGACATCCCCTCTTAAGAGTACAATTATTTGAATGCAAAAAACCAAAAACAATAATGTATATAATGTGCTACAGTTGCTTTATGGCATACAGGAACTCTAACCTGAATTGTTGCTCTGTATCTACACCAGCATGTCAGCTTTAGGAATTCCCATTTTAGTGGCTGATGTAATATATTGTGAACACCTTTTATACCATTATATGCATCACTGTTACATGACAGCCACCCTTATCCCCCTTCTGTATTTTTAATGCTGTCGTTGACTGAGATGTTTCTAGCTACTTTCATTCATCTAACAGCAACTGAAGGGAATATTCTTCCTCATTCTCCATTCATCCATTACCTTATCATCTATTTTCTTCTTCTTAGTAGTTAGATCCAAGGGAAAAAATATTTTGATTAAACTTAAACATGGTTTCAGTAAACTCGTTGTTATATAAGTTTGATATTTTTAGATATTTTATTAAATGTTTGTGAAACTTGGTAAATATTTAGTGATCTGGTTTGACAAGATTAAACTTTAAAAGTGACAGCGGAACACAAAGCAACCGTTCCTGAA